GTGCGAACTTTGGTTTGGTTAACAGGTATTTTAACAGCCACTGTTTGTGATGCATTGTAATCAAAACCATTGCAAACACGGCAACAATTTTTCTGCACAACATTGTGAAAACCAAAATACTCGAGCAATATTTTTCTAAGGCAAACACCATCAGAATGACAGTACCATTTCATTGCATCATTAATGGTGCATTTGTTAGCAGCTATGTCCGAGTTATTAAAATAGATTGCTGCTTTAGCTGGGTGTCCACTACGTCCAGCTCTGCCAATTTCTTGAAAGTAACATTCCAAGTTTGATGATGGTCCAATATGAATGACATTGCTAACATAGGGTGCATCAACACCCATCCCTAATGCTGTAGTTGCAAAAATAACACGTATTCTTGAATGTTCTTTTTTAAGTTCAGTAATTATCTCTTGCTTCATTTTCCTTGTTTGTGGTGAATGAAACTGTGCAAATAATCGTGAAGAGGGGGTTTTCTCAGAACCATCATACTGTTTCTCTTGTAAAGTTTTGTTAAACAATGAGTATGCAAAACCACAGTATTTGAGTTTCATATATATGATTGTAATAGGATAATTTGTACCTTGATTCAAAAGATCTTCAGCAATTGGTTTAAGTATTGCTGAGTAACTATCATATGCATGGTTGTTGCTCAAGCGCTTTTCACGATCCAGAAATATATTGCTCCTGTTAGGGTTTTTTTTTATTACTTTGCAGTTGTCACTTAAACACAAACTTTTTTTCAAATCCAAGATGAGCTGGGGTGGTGCAGTAGCAGTGAGGACCAAGGTTGGAACTGAGGGAAATATTGCCTTCAGACATGACAGTCCTTTAAAATCCTTTCTGAAGTCATTCCCCCTATAACATTAAAACAACTGTTTATATAAATTGTTATAACCCATAGCACAAAATCTAGGAAAGGCATTTTATAAGAATCACATTTATAAACAAATTTTGTCTTAGGCAGGGGTTTTCTTATTTGCCAGACATAGAAGATTTCTGGCAAGTGTTCAGTGGGGATGGTGCAAACCAAAGTGCATAGGTGCAAGACTGAGATGGGGGGGGGGGCAGTTTGGTTGGGCTTTGCAAGCCTTTGCCTTTCATCACACAACAAACAATTTGGCTCTCTGATTAACACACAATACTGGTTGGAGTTCACTTTAGTAGTACTAAAACTGATATTAAAACAAATCAGATAAAATGTTAAAAGAAGAGTTGAATGCAATTTGTTGTAAATGTTGATGCATTTATAAATAACATGGACATTTTACTTACCACATTTCCACACAATAACCTTCGTCGATTACACAGGCTACAACATTCTTCTGATAGACATCTGATTTCATAAGTTTTCTGCCAACATCAGAAAGGAGATCTTCAGGATGAGCGAAAACTCTGCTGGTAAGCCCATTTACAAGATCGTCTGGCAAATGGATGTCGGCTGCCATGCCCATATCTTCATTGTTGAATAGCGTTTCACAATTTTCGTTTTCGTAACGTGATGGAAGAACACCGGCGTTAATACTCATTATCTTAAGACTGTGCAGCTGATCCTCGATGATAGACGAAAGAGGTCACAGCACAATAACAATGTTGATTGTTGTTTTTGTCGGCAATATGTCTGGAAGCAATTGAAATAAAACTGACTTTCCAAATCCAGTGGGCAAAACTGCAATAACATCATGTCCCTTACAAATGTAATCAAAACATTGTATTTGCTGTGGTTTAAGTATTCTATTGACCATACCCGCATTATGTAAAGCGATGTGTATTCTGTTGAGAATTTCCATATTCGCTAATACTGTATAAAGTTCTTTAGACAAGCTGTAAGTTTTTATTCCTGAATCTGCATAACTATTATGTAAATTAATTCCTAAATTGTCAGAGGTGCTCATAAATTATCATACTAAACACCCCAAAATTCAGGGTGTCATGTGACCGGCCGAGGCCAGGGCCATTTTCGCCGACGCCACGGAGGTAAAATGCCCTGGGTACGAGGTTGTCCAAATGGGACAAATATTGTCAATTTTTCGATTGGGACTATTCTACAATGAAGTACTCTTGGATACTGTAATCTAAATACATATGAAAACGAAGAAGTGGCATTTATCGGACAGAGAAGGGACGAGCCATTAAAATGGCAGCAATTTGACGAAATATCGAAGAACACAATATCGAAGGTAAAATACACTGCACCGTCTTACAACTTGATGAAACTTGGTTGAAATATTCTTTAGTCCTTTATGATTACATAAAAGTACAACAACTGGATGATATTTGCGAGACGCGGCGATAAAAAGCAAACAAGACGGCAAAGTATGGCTGAAGTCGTGTTTTCGTGGGGGGTAAGTGAAATAAAATGTCTTATATTGAAAGAAAACATGCAATGACAATCCTTATGAAATCCACAATAATTATATTGAACTAAGCATAGTTTTTCATCCCATGATAATTTTTTTTCTCGTAACGGGGAATTCGAATACGTAGCACTTTGGTTGCTGCACATATCATAAATATACAAAACGCAAGGCAAATTGGAATATATAAACAGACTTGACAGGGCGCTCATGATCAAATGTATAAAAAGCTATTCAAATACAACGTGGCCATGGAATCTATTATCTAGTAACCGTTCCTGTCACAGATAGATTAGTATATCATCCGCATACCTAGCAGGTATATAGAATTATTGAAACAGTTATATATGAACGTTAATTAAGTAATAGGCATGCAGATATCTTACACGAGTCCTTTAATAATATTGAAGGTATTTTATCCTGACCACAAGACTTAATTATATGTTCTGAGTTTGTTCACTGCTTCAACTTCACAAAAAGGAATTATTTTAAAATAAAAGCTGACATTTACTGGTTTTATATAATCTTCAAAACTTTTGGAACCTTCAGGAATCTCCTTTGATCAATCTATTCCTACTCTATTAAAATAATTGTTAAAAATTTCAGCCATATGCATATCACCGCTACCTGTCGCTATATATTATTATTCAATTTAACGCTACTACAGTTACATTCGTTGTTTTTGAATACAATTTAATTTTTGGGCCGATTTTACACAAAGATAATTTTCTGCATCCGAATATGGGACTGCGGTCACTGGTCCACAAATACACAACCCAAGAATTAATAATATTCTCGGGTTTATTTGTTATGAACAAGTCCAATAGTGTTTGTGTATCTGAAGTGATTCGTGTTGGTTCTTCAATCACCTGAGTAAGTTGAAAAAAAAATTATCATATCAACTAATTAATCGATTAGCAATGGAAGATTTATCATCTCGTATTAGATCACAGTTAAAATCACCCACCAGAATCATTTCCTTATTTTCTGCATCTAAATTTTCAACATGATTTGTTTAAGTACATCAAATATTACAGATCGAACTGATATTCGGTGGCCTATTTAGGCCACCGAATAGGCTTGAAAATTTCTATACAGATTGCTTCAATTTCAGTAGGGATTAAGTCTTTGCGTTCTATAACATTTAAATGATCTCTATATAATATATAGCAACGCCATATCATATCTTTCACTTGTTCATCACGTTAAGACGTTGAAAACACACAACTGCTTGTTGAAAACAATACACTGCCTTGTCGATGTATTGCATGAGCAAAACTGCAATTCTCCACAAACTGTGGCAAAAGCCGAGGAACTGAAATACAGTTCGCTTTCTCTAGATTACATTTAAAATAATCCAGTATTTTCCGCCAAACATAACAAAACTGCAAGTTAAGAGCATGCACAAACAGAAATTAAGATTTCACGGTAAATGCTTGAAGAGAACTTATGGAATATAGAAAGATCCAACTATAAGGAGCCCAAATGTAGAAATTAAGATTTCACAGTTAATCCTATGAGAACTTATGGAATGAAAAGACCACAAATAGGGAGCACAAAAAGAAATAAAAAATTCACAGTAAATCCTAAGAGAGAACTTATGTACTATTTAAAGCACTCGTAGGAGTGTTTTATCACATATAAAACGCAAGGCGCAGCCGAGCGTCTTATATGTGATAAAACACGACTACAAGTGCTTTAAATGGCTTAAAAAACTACTCATCTTATACGAATTCATTGGCGAAGTAATTTTTAAAATAAACTTTGTCTAAACCGAGAAAATCAAAGCTAAAGTTTATGTAAATTAACATGATTTCATATCACATATAACACCACGACACGCTTATGATTTTTCTTTGTGTTTTCCTCCTGAATTATTAATGAGTTTTTTAATGAATAATAAAACCACAAGTTGTTAGCAAAAAGATAAATCAAAAATTCACTGTAAGAGAACTTATAGCATAATAAGACAACAAGTTGTGAGCAAAAAGAGAAAATAAAAATTCACAGTGAATCCTAAGAGAGAACGCATAGAATAAAAAGACTACAAGTAGAGAGCCCAAATAGTGACATTACTCTGTAAATCCTAAAAGTTAATTCACAAAATAAGAATTTTGGCTTTTTAAAATTTATTTGTTGATAATCTTAGCAACGATAGCAATCGATCATGTTTCGGTAGCAACCTGATGAAGTGAAATTGCCAATCTTTCTTTTCAGTGAATAAGCTTCGAGCAACTTTTACAGAAGGTTTCACTAAACCCTGAATTTGAACGAGTAGGCCATTTATAACAGAGCAAAACGATTGAATAACTCGTTGTGTGAGACGTATAATTAAACTCACATAATTTAACCTCAAAATAATTTAAAAGAACGAAACCCTGATCCCTCAAGAAAACTTACTCAATTGAGAAGAAAGTTCCCTCGAGTGTCGGACTGTAGGCATGTGATATCTTTCTTACTTCGACTTTATCTCTTATTTAAATTATCACCCGAATATTGCATTACTATATAAAAGTACTCAAAAAATTCAAAACAGTCTATATGACTACCGTCATTTATCGTCTAATCTAAAAAAGATTTTAAAAATCTATAAAATTAAAAATGTAAAGTTTGTCGATAAAATTGCTATATTATATAACAATCTTGATATTTGTTTGCTTATTTGAGTTTAAATCATTACGGTGTTTAGATTATTGTAGGACCTGCTAAAATTTGACATGAAATCCTAAAAAATGAATAGGATACAGAAAACCACAAGTTAGAAGCACAAACAGTTTTAATCGCTTGAATAACTGCTTACTTAGGTAATCACAATCCTCGGATTTTATATACACAGACTGTGTCTATATTCTGAGATAGTATCACTAATTTCAAGGAGGCGGAATTTTGCTAGTTTATATATTCCTAAAGTCAAAGCGGGCTCGTTGCCAGCGGAAGAAAAATGTTAGTCGCTAAAGTTACATTTGTTTTGGGCCTTCTTGTGTATGGTTGTGGATGTAAGAAAAGAGGAGAAGAGATTTCGAGAGAGAAAACCAGTAAGTATTTCCCTACATACGATTGACTTGTGTGATTGGCTTTCTTAGACAAATGGTCACTTATATAATTAAGTTACTACGAGGGGACTTGGAACGGGTGTCCAAAAAGTGCCCAAATCAAGAAATGAACTTTATCACTAGTAAGAGCACTTAAAAGATAGTAGGTGTTTGAAGTTTGAAGACACTTAATTGGGTACATATTACTTGAATATTTATTTACCTACTACTAGAAATATATGCATGCAGTAACCCCTCGCCTAACTGAATATTGATATATACTATACATTTCTAAATATACTGTAACTGTTTACTAAGTGGTCTTGATATGCAATATATTTTTTTCTTGACGTATTCACTCTGTCCATGTGCCAAATGTGCTATTAAAAATATTGATCTGATCATTACTGGGAATAATATATCAAAAAATTTATTTTGGTTAAGGAATTGTTAAGGAGATGAAATGTAAATTTTGTATTAAAAAGTGGAAGCGCAGTGGCCATGGCAACAACACAGCTGCCGATTTGCCGTACGCTCCGCGGCATTTCCTTTTCACCTTTTGTGAAAAAGCCAATATTTATGAAACATTCGTGCTTTTACTGTGAATTTAATGCCTTCCCAAGTATATAAAGTAGGCATATGTTATTACGAGCTTTTTAACTTTCATTTACTGTAAAATTTAACCTTTTGACGTCTAACAAAACGTTGCGAAAATTTAATAAAACTTGAACAGTTTTTCGAAAACCATGATAATTAAGCATGAAAGTCCATAATGAAATGAGTTTCTTTGCACTTAAAAATACTGTTTTCTATTCCATAACATATTTGAAATCCATCTTAGGATTAATCAATGTTGTATTGACCATTTAACAATTAGATTATACTCACTCTCGATTTCACTGAGGAGATAGTTGATGAGGGCGATAGTCTAGGACCTGTATATGAGCTTGTATGCATTTCATTTAGGACAGATAATCTCAACTGTTTTGGGGTAAGTTGACCATGACGGTCAACATGGTAACGCTACCCGAACCCCAATCCGGGGCGAAACGTCCGAAACTGACCACACCCAAAACGACGCTTTCGCCATACTGCTATCTACCAAACCATAAAAGCTTTGGCTATTCTGAGGTGCTTATA